GGGGGGCCGATGCGGGGAGCACTGGGGGGAGCGCGGGGGGGTGCCCGGGAGGGAGGCAGCCATGGGATGGAGCGGGCTGGGGGTGAAGGTGCTCTGGGGCTGCTTGGCTGACGGTAGCTTCTCTCCAGGCTCTGCCTGCGGGATGTCCTTGCAGTCCGGAGTCTGCGCGTCCACGGAGTCCGTTTGAATGGCCTCCTGGAAGGTGAGGAGAGGGAGATGGGGCAAGACCTGGGGATCTGCCAGGCGGGGGGCACATCCAGATGCCCCGCAGTGCCAGTCCCCATCAGACCCTCACTGCACCAGAGGACGCAGCTTGTCTAGCAGGCAGACACAGAGCCCGCGGGCGCAGGCCTTGCGTCTGCCAGGTCTTTCTGCACGGTCTTGGTCGTGCTCTAGCACCAAGCCTTGGGTCAGTGCAACTGACACTGTCTAAAGTGACACGGGGTAGGGCTGGCTGCGGGCTTCTCGCAGCACCGCTAAAACTGAGCTGGGCATCTTCTCTCTAGGCTTCAGCCATGCTTTTATGGAACAGTACATCCACCAAGATGAAAGTAGGTAGCAAGGGCCTTCCCCTGTGTGTCACTTGCAGAGTCTGGAGTATGTTAAGGTTTATGGCACCAGAAGTCTTTTGTTCTAAAAGGGGGAATTCTACTCTCAGCTCCAGGAAAAGAAACCCAAGAGAGGACTGGAAAAGAAGGGAAGGACCCTGGTGGCTACGAAGGAGTTTACCTCTGCAGGCTCTTGGCCTCTCACCTGTCTGCACAGCAGCTTGTTGAGAGTAGGAGATCGAGGTGTGACGTGGGGTGGAAGGATCTTCCAGCGGCGTCGGCCTTCGTGGTGGGGAGAATGGACTGCCAGCGGCAGGGGGTCCGTCGGGACTCTCAGAGAGGAGCACGTTCCCACAGGCTGGGAGCGGATGGAGGTGATGGACCCTAGGAAACAGAGAGAGAGCAGTCACCTCCACTGCTGGCGTGGGGCTGTGAAGGTCTGAGGCAGAACCGGTGCCCACAGACTCCAGGAGGGGAGCAAACGCAAAGGAAAAGCCTGTCTAGTCTGGCTGAAATCCCAAGCCTCAGCCCCAGCCTCGGCCAGCGCCAGGGTTAAAAACCCGGAGTCCCTTGTCCTGTCTCCTGCTTTGAATCCGAGGCCGTAGCTCATCAGGGAGGGCAGGGAGGTTGCAGATGAAGTCTCTGCAATTCAGCAGCAGCGCATGTGGCTCTGCCCGCTCCAGGACATCTCCTGTTACAAACCCTACACTCGTAGCCTCTATTTTCTGTTTCGGGTACCAGAAATCTTCTCTTGCAGCTGCTGTGACGCTCAGGGTGGACGGCGGCCACCAGGACCACGTGGCAGCAATGGATGGGGAGCCGGTGGGGTTGCGTTTGAAACGCTGCCATTGCCGCTTTCCCAGTAGCGTTGCCTTGGGTGGATCTGTAGCAGGACGTTGCCTGTTCGAGAACGTGGATCGGGAAGTCTGGTGGCTGTGCTGGCTCCTCCGAGTCAGGACACCTGGGTTGTCTCTGCAGTGCTGCCAGGGACGGGCTTGCAACCTTACGCTGCTCTGCCAACATGGAGGCAAGGGCAGCCCCGCTCAGCTCCCTTGGAGCCTCCCGAGCTCGACCTACAGGTCCAGCCTACAGCCTGGGACAGCCAGCGGCACCCTGCCACCCTGCCCCACGCACAGGCCCACGTTCCCACTCCCTACAGCCCACGAAGCAGACCTTGGCCGAACGTGGTCCCATTAGAGGACTTTTCCAACCTTAATGATTCTATGGAGACTGCTTCGAGCGCTTTGGCAG